GAACATATCTATAGTGGATTATTTTGGCTGACCAGCAAAACCAGCGCGGTCATGCTGATTCACCTGCAAAACCAGACTAAACCAGCACTGACCAGCATAGAATTAATGTTGGTTGGTGCTCAGCCATAACGATTTAACCAAGGTTACACTTGGCATTCAGTTTGGCTAAAGATCAACAACAAGATGTAATGGGGAGCGACTTTTTTCCCACGCTCTCAGCCAATGAATTTTTGTCTCAAATGTGGTGCCAAGACTAATATCAATAATATGTCGTGAGCTGGGCAATGGGGAAAGTACTACAGTTAAGTGATCGAAATTTTATCAATAGCTATAATATTCATGGAATTCAGTCACGCGACGTTTCTGTTGCGAGCGCCATCTTGAGTACCTACCATCGGCACAGCTACGACCAGAGACTGTATGGGCTACGATGAAGGATTGTCTCAGTCTTTATTTCTCCATAACAACAGACTCACTCTACATTATCCCGCTTATTACACGGCTTATGAGTGAAATTATTAATTTCAAACGTAATGTTGATCAAAATACGACTTTTATCGATTTATAAATTGCATCATTTCGCGAATCTGCAAGTCCAGTCACTTCTCCGCTATTTTGCTCACCCGCCTCGGTTGTGTGTTGGCCTGTGACTAAAAACCGGGTACCCGGGTCCCGCCCGAAAGGTTCGGTTCCCGGGAAGAAAATTGCTATACCCGTTTCCCGAAAATCAGTACATTGATTGTGCACACGATAAAATGATGGGTAATCATTAATGGCATCACCCAGACATTCGCTCATGTAGGCTACATTATTTGGGTCATTCCTGGCTATTGGTGACTTTTCCGTCCCCAAGAAAAAACTCTTAATATTTTAATTAAAATAAACAAATAAGTTTAATGCAAAAGGGTTTTATTATACATTGAGGTCTCCTTTATATAATTAACACAAAATTATGTTTGTAAATATATATTTTTAATCTTTATTGCCTTTTGTTTTGACACATACACTTCTTTTTATGATGTCCCCAAAGCAAATTCTCAGTTTCAGTGAAATAAATTGTAAAATATTTATAAATTCATGGAAATTCGTTTTTATTATTGTATAGATCATGTTCAAATATCTCTAAATATTAATCTCTTGCAATGGAAATGGTCATTATAATTTTTTAAAAAATAATTTTCTATATGTCCCCAAAATCACGTTCCGCCCTGTTAGATTGTGGGTTTTTGCTGTTTGAACAAAAAAAAAAACTACCATTCCCATTCCCACACTTTGGCTGTGAAATCACACTTTTAGAGGGAAATTTAAAAGGAGCAAAGTGAGGTGAGTGACAACTTTCTGTTTGCCTTTTTTTTGCATGTTTTATGTTAACCTGTATGTCCTACTCTTAAATTTCCACCCTGTTAGCCTAATTTATGAAGAAAGTAAACCACATTTTTTTAAATTAAAAAACATATTTGATATTTATATTAAAGTACTGTTTATTTGTGGAGAACTAGCTAACAAAAGTTTTCTGTCACTGAGCAATGGCTAATTTGGTTTGAAATTTTCCACCCTGTTAGGTTCCACCCTGTTAGGTATGTAAACCTTACAGGGTGGAACATGCACCTAACAGGGTGGAAAATCTATCACAAAATGTAGGGAAATGCTTATAAATACTGATATATAAATATTTAGTTGTTACTTATACTGTTCATCTAATTTATCAATATGTGTAAAAGGTAAAACTTTATTATTATATTAAAGTACAAGGCATTTACTTGGTTTTACCGCTGTCCTACCGCATAACAGCTATGATCCAATATCAACAGATCACACCCTCTTAAGTATATATAAACAGTAATTGATCATTATTATAAAATATTGTTGATACAATTTGCATGATAATGTAATGTTAAATTGTATATATTTGTCAGGAAATGGCTCCCCCACTTACTGCAGCTGAAATGCAGCGCTGCTACAGAGCGAAGCGAGATGCAGATCCAAAGAGAAGAGCACTCACACATGCCCACAAACACCTTCTCAGGCATGCACACACACAACACACACACACACACACAAACACCTTCTCAGGCACAAACACACGCACACACACACACCCACAAACACCTTCTCAGGCCCACACACACACACACACACACACACACTCACATCCACAAACACCTTCTCAGGCACTCACGCACACACACACACACACACACACACACACACATATATTTACGCACACACATCCACAACACTCATGCACACAAAAAGATGAAATAAAATGAAATAAAGTGAAAAATAAGATTAAATGAAATCAAATTAAATTCTGGCCCATAAAGAAAGTTTGGTGAGGGCCACTTTTGTTTGTCGGTAGAGGCACTTATGTTTAGTACTGTAATGTAATTTTTTATGTTAAAAAAGTGTTGAATGTTTTGTATTTTCAATTAAAGTTAAATGTTCTGCGAGTTAATAATAAAATTATTGTTGAACCTCACTGAGTTATTGCTGGTCATTCCACCCTGTTAAGGTCCTTTCCACCCTGTTAGTCACATTTTTTACCCAAATAACATAACAAGTATGTTAAATGTTATGCATATGTTAATGTTAAACTGCAGAGTTGATAGGGATCAGCAGCAGACATATGTAATTTTGTGCAAATTTTTGTTATTATTTATCATTTACAAAATTGGGTGCAAAAAAATATGACCGTTTTAAAGAATTAACACATGCTCTACTCAAAAATTCTTTTTTCAACATTATTCAAAGATAAAACTTATACAATGGAATGAGGGGCACATAAGGTGCAAGAAAAGCTAAGTATTGTTGAATATTTACATTATTTACACTTTGTAATACCTGTGTATATGTCCCTAACAGGGTGGAACTCTCTCGTGGTCCACGTCTGAATAATCCATCCATAATTATTATTATTTAGGTGCACAAGCTCTATCATTACAAGTTCCTGAAGGTTAAACATACCATTTACCACATATAGTGTTAAAAACATGAAAAATGTATTTTTTTTTTCATAAGTTAGCACACTGAAAAGTCACCAATAGTGAAGAATGACCCATTTATTCCTGTAGCTCACGACTGTCGTGCGCCAACGATTAGCTTATCAACTTACTTGAATGGGAAACAGATGGAGAATCAGTCAGTGGCAATTTGGAGATTTTAATCAAGAATATATAAATCCCAAGCTACTTCCTTGGTCTAGTCAGCTCGCGCTCGCTTGCTGCCTTTCGATCTCATCGGCGTCATGGTTTTTTTTTTTTCCTTCTTCTTTTCAATAGTTATGATGATGAATTTTGATGATATTGATACAAATTACATGATATATTTATTGTCGTTGTGATTGATAGTCCCGGTTGATAGAAAAATTATCAAATGATGATGATAATGAGAAAATGGGAAATTCAGGGGTGCAGATGATTTTGAGTTTTGACGATGGGATTGTTATGATGGAATAATGAAATACTTACTATTAATGATAATAATGACATCAGTCGGACATCCGTACACTTGGATATAGTAAATTAATTTGGAAAATGCATTTGGAAAGTAAAATATCGTATTCGTAAAAGACCTGATCAGTCCATCCAACGATCGTGAGTTGACAATGAAATACCACCACGAACGAGCTTTTCGTTGTAAGTTATCTTTCTGTTTCTCGGTCTTTCTTTCTTTAGTGTAGGCTACGTGAACCAGTGGCGTAGCCAGAACTTAAAATTGGGTGGGCACTAAATATCTCTTTAAAACATTTATTCGTGCTGACTCGATCGCAGTCATTTTTTCTAATTAACTATACATTCAATCTGCTTGTTCACCTCGTTCAGGCAAAAGGCAATCATTCATTTGGATGCGCAATTTTGTGCTTTTCATATCAGTGGCGTAGCCACACCTGAAAATTGAGCGGCCACATAACATCGGTTTATTACAATTATTATACCTAACTTGTTCTCAGACATTTTTCTTTGTTAAAGCAATTTCCATTTATATGAATAATCAACTGGCAAAAAAAGACACTGCCTCTTTCGTGGTGCGATCTAAGGGCGACTAATCAATAGGCATAATTCAGTTCAGCAAAATAAGTTACTCATAAGTTGTGCTTAGTTTTAATAATACTTTTCGAGAAGTAAACTGTTCTGGAACTTCCGCGCTACCATTTTCGGCTCATCAGGCGATCTAACCTGTGCTTCATGATCGATTGAATTATTCAAACTGAACCAAAGACAGAGATTTGAAATGCACAAAATTGCGCATCCAAATGAATTATTGTCGTTTTACCTGAACGAGGTGAACAAGCAACACCTGATAGTGCGGAGTGTTATCGTATTGAATGTATAGTTAATTAGAAAAAAAATAATTGCGATCGAAGCAGAACTAATTGTTTTAAAGAGATGTTTATTGCCCACGCAATTTTAAGTTCTGGCTGCGCTACTGACGTAAACGTGTTTGAAACTTTGAGGTAAAGAATTAACACGGACATGCATGCCTCGTAGACGAGAGCTGTGACGCCGGGTCCGAGGCTCTGATCGCAGTTTTGTTTCCAGCCACAACGTGGAAGGAGCCTCCACTCACCCTGTAACAAGTTACAAGTCATTTATCAAACATCACAATTAGTCCGAAGCTGTTTAATGAAGGTAAAAATGAAACATATGGTAAATATCCTGCATAGTGCTTCTCCTCTGTCTCCTCCGATCAGAGCGGCGTCCCTAGCAACGGCCTGTTTCACTTAGCAACAGTCTGTTATACAGAGATAAAAGACCGTAAAATGTAGAATCAGAGTGTAATTCATTAATCAAAATGCAGCATTTAAAAGAACCGTATCATGAAAAAATGTTAATCCACTTTTTGGGAGACTTCTTATCACAGCCCACGGGGCGACAGATAGACGGCCTGTTGTAAGTCAGTACCCAAAATGGCGGCGCCTAGAGTTTGAGAGCAGTGACGTGCGTCTATGACGTCAGCTGACATGTATGAATTGAAACGCTAATTTTCACTTTAAAAAGACTTGGCCTGCACGGGGATCGAGCCCGCGACCTTGGCATTGTTGGCACCACGCCGTCACCAACTGAGCTAACCGGCCACACTTCTTAACTTTAATATAAAATAGATAATCCATCCATTCTACACCTGCATTTAGAACACATAATCGCAATTAAACCGTAGTTGTCCGTCACATGCTTAGAGCCCTCCGAAGGGCAAGAGTCCCTAGATAGAGTTGCGACAACTCAAGAATAGGCGCCATTATGTTTCCATCGCCCGAAACTGAGCCATTGCGCACAATGAAGATCGTTGGATGTTTTTTTCATTTCAACAGCAACAATTTACCAGCATTTTGGCAAAACAATATAATAGAAATGACTAGAGGGAAGTAGACGAATCTTTCTTTTGCCTTCCAGGCGGGCGTTCCAATTAGATTGTGATGTAACATGAAAACTATGGAAAGAAAGTCACAGCCCTGACGTCATCTTGTATGAGGCTTCGTTAACATTTCTCCACTCCCAGCTCCATCACTCCAGTGTCTCCGGCCCGATCCCAGAGTGTACCCTATAGCCTTAAACCCTGAACTTTCTATGGCCCGATCCCAGAGTGTACCCTATAGCCTTAAACCCTGAACTTTCAACGGCCCGATCCCAGAGTGTACCCTATAGCCTTAAACCCTGAACTTTCAACGGCCCGATCCCAGAGTGTACCCTATAGCCTTAAACCCTGAACTTTCCTCCGATCCCAGAGGCCCGATCCCAGAGTGCCCTATAGCCTTAAACCTATAGCCTTAAACCCTGAACTTTCTACGGCCCGATCCCAGAGTGTACCCTATAGCCTTAAACCCTGAACTTTCTCCGGCCCGATCCCATAGTGTACCCTATAGCCTTAAACCCTGAACTTTCAACGGCCCGATCCCAGAGTGCGCCCTATAGCCTTAAACCCTGAACTTTCTACGGCCCGATCCCAGAGTGTACCCTATAGCCTTAAACCCTGAACTTTCTCTGGCCCGATCCCATAGTGTACCCTATAGCCTTAAACCCTGAACTTTCAACGGCCCGATCCCAGAGTGCGCCCTATAGCCTTAAACCCTGAACTTTCTATGGCCCGATCCCAGAGTGTGCCCCATAGCCTTAAACCCTGAACTTTCTACGGCCCGATCCCAGAGTGCACCCTATAGCCTTAAACCCTGAACTTTCTACGGCCCGATCCCAGAGTGTACCCTACAGCCTTAAACCCTGAACTTTCAATGGCCCGATCCCAGAGTGTGCCCTATAGCCTTAAGCCCTGAACTTTCTACGGCCCGATCCCAGAGTGTGCCCTATAGCCTTAAACCTTGAACTTTCTACGGCCCGTTCCCAGAGTGTACCCTTGGCCTTAAACCCTGAACTTTCTACGGCCCGTTCCCAGAGTGTACCCTATAGCCTTAAACCCTGAACTTTCTATGGCCCGTTCCCAGAATGTACCCTATAGCCTTAAACCCTGAACTTTCTCTGGCCCCAGCTCCCAGAATGTACCCTATAGCCTTAAACCCTGAACTTTCTCGGCCCATTCCCAGAATAGCCTTAAACCCTGAACTTTCTAGCCTTAAACCCTGAAACCCTTTTTCTCGGCCCATTCCCAAACCCTGAATGTACCCCTATAGCCTTAAACCCTGAACTTTCTCCCAGAGGCCCATTCCCAGAATGAGTGTGCCTATAGCCTTAAACCCTGAACTTTCTCTCCCAGAGCCCATTCCCCTGAACTGAACCCTATAGCCTTAAACCCTGAACTTTCTCGGCCCGTTCCCAGAGTGTGCCCTATAGCCTTAAACCCTGAACCCAGAATGTCCCCTATAGCCTGTCCTGAACTTTCTCGGCCCGATCCCAGAGTGTGCCCTATAGCCTTAAACCCTGAACTTTCTCTGGCCCGCCTTCCCATAGTGTACCCTATAGCCTTAAACCCTGAACTTTCAACGGCCCCAGAGTCCCAGAGTGTACCCTATAGCCTTAAACCCTGAACTTTCTCACGGCCCGATCCCAGAGTGTGCCCTATAGCCTTAAACCCTGAACTTTCTCGGCCCATTCCCAGAGTGCACCCTATAGCCTTAAACCCTGAACTTTCTATCGTCCCCAGAGTGTACCCCTACAGCCTTAAACCCTGAACTTTCAATGGCCCGATCCCCAGAGTGTGCCCTATAGCCTTAAACCCTGAACTTTCTAATGGCCCGATCCCAGAGTGTGCCCTATAGCCTTAAACCCTGAACTTTCTACTGTCCATTCCCAGAGTCCCTAGCCTTAAACCCTGAACTTTCTGGCCTTAAACCCTGAACTTTAAACCCTGAACTTTCTCGGCCCGTTCCCAGAATGTACCCTATAGCCTTAAACCCTGAACTTTCTATGGCCCGTTCCCAGAATGTACCCTATAGCCTTAAACCTTGAACTTTCTACGGCCCGTTCCCAGAATGTACCCTATAGCCTTAAACCCTGAACTTTCTCGGCCCATTCCCCAGAATGTACCCTATAGCCTTAAACCCTGAACTTTCCCAGAATGTGAACCCCTATAGCCTTAAACCCTGAACTTTCTAATGGCCCATTCCCAGAATGTACCCTATAGCCTTAAACCCTGAACTTTCTACGCCCATCCCAGAGTGTGCCCTATAGCCTTAAACCTTGAACCCTATAGCCTTTAAACCCTGAACTTTCTACGCCCGATCCCAGAGTGTGCCCTATAGCCTTAAACCCTGAACTTTCTACGGCCCCATTCCCAGAGTGAACCCTTAAACCCTAGCCTTAAACCTTAAACCCTGAACTTTCTACGGCCCGATCCCAGAGTGTGCCCTATAGCCTTAAACCCTGAACTTTCTACGGCCCGTTCCCAGAGTGTACCCTATAGCCTTAAACCCTGAACTTTCCTTAAACCTGAACTTTCTCTGCTCCCAGAGTGTACCCTATAGCCTTAAACCTTGAACTTTCTCGGCCCATTCCCAGAATGTACCCCCTGAACTTTCTCTGCCTTAAACCCTGAACTTTCTACGGCCCGTTCCCAGAATGTACCCTATAGCCTTAAACCCTGAACTTTCTACGGCCCATTCCCAGAATGTACCCTATAGCCTTAAACCCTGAACTTTCTACGGCCCATTCCCAGAATGTACCCTATAGCCTTAAACCCTGAACTTTCCCAGAGCCCATTCCCAGAATGTACCCCTGAACTTTCTATAGCCTTAAACCCCTGAACTTTCTACGGCCCATTCCCAGAGTGTACCCTATAGCCTTAAACCCTGAACTTTCTCAATGGCCCGCCCCAGAGTGTGCCCAGAGTGTAACCTATAGCCTTAAACCCCTGAACTTTAAACCCTGAACTTTCTACGGCCCGTTCCAGAATGTACCCTATAGCCTTAAACCCTGAACTTTCTAACCCTGGCCCCAGAGTGCCCAGAGTGCACCCTATCCCAGCCCTATAGCTTAAACCCTGAACTTTCAACGGCCCGTTCCCAGAATGTACCCTATAGCCTTAAACCCTGAACTTTCTACGGCCCATTCCCAGAGTGTACCCTATAGCCTTAAACCCTGAACTTTCAACGGCCCGATCCCAGAGTGTGCCCTATAGCCTTAAACCCTGAACTTTCTACGGCCCGATCCCAGAGTGTGCCCTATAGCCTTAAACCTTGAACTTTCTACGGCCCGTTCCCAGAGTGTACCCTTGGCCTTAAACCCTGAACTTTCTACGGCCCGTTCCCAGAGTGTACCCTATAGCCTTAAACCCTGAACTTTCTACGGCCCGTTCCCAGAATGTACCCTATAGCCTTAAACCCTATAGCCTTAAACCTGAACTTTCCTTAAACCCTGAACTTTCTACGCCCATTCCCAGAATGTACCCTATAGCCTTAAACCCTGAACTTTCTGTCCCATAGCCTTAAACCCTGAACCCTGCCCGTTCCCTAGAATGTACCCTATAGCCTTAAACCCTGAACTTTCTACGCCCATTCCCAGAATGCCTTACCCTATAGCCTTAAACCCTGAACTTTCTCGGCCCATTCCCAGAGTGTACCCTATAGCCTTAAACCCTGAACTTTCACGCCCGCCCCAGAGTGTACCCTATAGCCTTAAACCCTGAACTTTCCCTGAACTTTCCTTAAACCCTGAACTTTCAACCCCAGAATGTACCCTATAGCCTTAAACCCTGAACTTTCAGAGTGTACCCTATAGCCTTAAACCCTGAACTTTCTACAGCCCGCTCCCAGAGTGTACCCTATAGCCTTAAACCCTGAACTTTCTCTGATCCCAGAGTTCCCAGAGTGTGCCCTATAGCCTTAAACCCTGAACTTTCTACGCCAGTTCCCAGAATGTACCCTATAGCCCGTTCCCAGAGTGTCCCTATAGCCTTAAACCCTGAACTTTCTACGGCCCATTCCCAGAGTGCACCCTATAGCCTTAAACCCTGAACTTTCAACGGCCCGTTCCCAGAATGTACCCTATAGCCTTAAACCCTGAACTTTCTACGGCCCATAGCCTTAAACCCTGAACTTTCCTTAAACCTGAACGGCCCGATCCCAGAGTGCACCCTATAGCCTTAAACCCTGAACTTTCACGGCCCCAGATCCCAGAGTGCACCCTATAGCCTTAAACCCTGAACTTTCTAGAGTGTACCCTATAGCCCGATCCCAGAGTGTACCCTATAGCCTTAAACCCTGAACTTTCAATGGCCCGATCCCAGAGTGTGCCCTATAGCCTTAAACCCTGAACTTTCTACGGCCCGTTCCCAGAGTGTACCCTATAGCCTTAAACCCTGAACTTTCTACGGCCCGTTCCCAGAATGTACCCTATAGCCTTAAACCCTGAACTTTCTACGGCCCGTTCCCAGAATGTACCCTATAGCCTTAAACCCTGAACTTTCTATGGCCCGTTCCCAGAATGTACCCTATAGCCTTAAACCCTGAACTTTCTACGGCCCCTTCCCAGAATGTACCCTATAGCCTTAAACCCTGAACTTTCTACGCCCATTCCCAGAATGTACCCTATAGCCTTAAACCCTGAACTTTCTCGGCCCATTCCCAGAATGTACCCTATAGCCTTTCTAACCCTGAACTTTCTACGCCTTAACCCTTTCTGCATTCCCAGA